GGCGAGCCGAAAGATGCGGGAACGCATTGCCAAGGGCGTTGCACACGCTTCCAAGGCCCTGGCTGACAAGTGGAACGCCGTCAACGCGGCTTTGGCCCAGCGTATTCGCGAGGTTACGGATGCCCGCAATCAGCTGCAGGCCAGTCTTGGGAAGGTGAGCTCCACGTATCCGTCGAGATATAAAGTGGTGAATTGAGAGCCCAGCTCGTTGATTGGTGGAAAGTTGTGTTTTGCGTTCCTGCACCCCCTATTCTAAGCTTGCATTCAACTTCAGCACATATGAGGGATTCGTCTATTATGATCAGATTACTTTTGAAACATCGAGCAAAGATTGGAATAGACATTTCTAGCTGCTGAGTGACCATTATTCAGCCATATTGCAACCCCGTGCCAATAAAACTTGAGGCTTGAATCACAGGTACTTATAGTTGGGCGGGATGCTCTACCAACTGAGGCAGTGACCCACGCTGTCTCGACTGTGTTTGGACAAGGTCGACGGCATATGTGCGTTTTGTACCGCCTTGGAGATCCAGAAAGTAGCAAACAAGACGGGGATGCTGGTCTATTGACAATGGCCCTTTTTCAGCCAGTCGCACTCAGACATGAATTTTGAACGAGTGGAGGAGAAAGTTCGAGTTTCAGGTGTGTGCATATGAGCGAAGAAAAAGGCTGGTCGAGCACCGGAACAGTATGTTTATTGTTCTGAACTTTCAAACTCGTCAGAGATAGCGACAGTTCGACCGTCGCTGCCGATGATGTCCACCATGTGCTCCAAACAGTGTGAGGCAGGGATGGTGACTTGTGCGTGAACTAGTTTATAGTGATAGTAGACTTGCGCAGCATCTACCGCAACCTCCCCTCCCCCACCTGGATCCGGTTTCAAGACAGAGTCAAGAAGACCGGAGGCGGGGGGCGCAGGGGGATGGCACGATCGAGCCCGCACCTTGGCGCTCCACCCCACCCCCTCTGGTCCACACAGCAAATGACCAGGTTTTTCACCGACAACAACAATGAAGGACGTGGCAGGAGTCCCAGTGTGCGCGACGTCTGTCGGCTGCCGGGTCTGCCACCACACCCCGAAATTAAGACATTTTGTTATGGTGCGCAAATTCGATAACGGCTGCCAGAATCCGATATGGCCCCCTTGTTGGTCCAGCGCGTCTACCATGTGGCGCACCATGCTTGGTGAAAAGTTGTGTTTTGCGTCCCTGCCCCCCACCCCCTTCTCAGATTGCATTCAATTTGAGAGTTTCGCTCAGACCAGTTTATGCCTATTCGCATTAGTGTTATAATTACGTATTCCTACAAATTTCGAGTAGAACCCCTTCAGGACATGGGAGGGTTTCGTCTATTACTACTAGATTATTTTCAGAAATATCAAGCAAAGATTGGAATAGACATTTCGAACTGATGAATGGCCACCAGTCAACCTGAAGCCTAGAAAACTTGAGGCTTGGATCATAGCTACTCATGGAAGGGCAGGATGCGCTACCAACTGATGTCGTGGCTTGCGCCTTCTCAGCTATGGTCAGACGTATTTAAGGTCAAGGACAAGAACATACGTGCGTTTCGTACCGTTTTAGAGATACATGCGAAGGCTAACGAGTCTGAGATGGTCGTTTCTTGATTGCCGCCCCTCCTCAACTAACCACGCTCGGGCATGGACGCGAGGGTTCGAGTTCCAGGTGTGCGTTCAAGTGAAGAGGAGGAGGGGGAGGAGGGGGAGGAGGAGGAGGAGGAGGAGGAGGAGGAGGAGGAGGAGGAAGGAGAGGGCTGGTTGAGCACTGGAGCTGTCTGTTTATTGTCCTGAGTTTTCGAACTCGTGAAGGAGTCCATCGTCAGAGATGGACGCACCAACAGAACAGACCAGGTCAGATTGGACGCAAGCCCCAATTACGCACCCACGAACATACGCTGGCTGTGCGACGAGACGACGAATTATCACAAGTGGCTGCCCACGCCTACGGAATGGGTCATGAGTGGTGCTTTGCAGCCAACAAGGTGGTCGTCCACGCTGGAAACAAGACGGTAAGAGAATTGATTGAATCCTGAGCCTCGGATAAGAAATCAGTCAACTGATTTATCGATCTGGCGCTGGCATTCAGAGGTCTGCGCAATCACCTCCAGACTTGCGACGTCGGTCGATGATTGGTTGGCACGCCCTATAACCGTTGCTTGTTCTGTTGTTGACGCTGAACTCCTGCATGAGTCCGACAGCTCAGAACAACAAACAAACTTGTTAATAGAAGCGAAGAGGCGAGTTCCAGGAAGTAGTCGCGAAGAAGGACAAGATCGCTAGAACAAGAGTTCTGTTAGCCTGACGTTTCGGATTCCCACTCGAATCCATCATCAAAAACAGAGTTAGAGAGGGGTGGTAAAGTGCCCAGGTGTTGCAGTATTTATAGGATGTAGTTGTTAGGTCGCTACATGCCTATCCTAGTTGGCAGCTCCCGAGTGCATCACGGCTCGACTGGTCAGGTGTTAAAGTATGCAGTTGCCGTGTCGTTGCAAAACGCTTGTGTGCCGGTCAAGATTATCGATTGCCACGCTCATCGCACACAGTCGAGTTGCTGACGGTTGGATTTCATCATCCGTGTGGGCTCCTGGGCAATTTGGATCGCCGATACTGACACCAAGAACGGTGGGCATCCGCACGCTGTTCTCGCGGCTAACTACTTTACCTAGACAAAGTTTCAGCGCCGAATATGGAGAGGGGAGGTCGTTGCGTTTGTTGATGGACTGAAGATCAGAAAACCTGGGCAATTTACCACCCCTATCTGACTCCGTCTCTGATAAAGGATTCGAGTGAGAATCCGAAACGTCAGCCTAATAAAACCCTTTTTCCAGCCGCCGTGTCTTCTTCTTCGCAACAAACAGACTGTTCCGATGCTCGACCAGTCTTCTTCTTGACTTATGAATTTTACAGAACGATTGGGTCAACGAATGCTGCTGACGAAAATTTGGCCTCATCACACGTTTTTACAGTTTCTCATGAGATCAGTGGATATATATATATATATAGTCCATTTGTCTCTGGGATTCAGATAAATCACAAAAAACCACTTTAGTAATTGTCCTCCGCTCGCTTGCATGCAGTCCTTCAGTCACGGAAATATACGAACACACCTTTTATGCTACTTTAAATATTCCAGAGTTTAGATGACAGGTATGAATTCGTGGCTGGGTGGTGGAACGATGGCGCAGTCATCAAGCGGACCTGGATTAAAACCTGGTTTTTTCAGATTTACGACCGACTCTCGGTGGTCTGAAACAATCATGCATAGGTCTTTTGTCTTTGCCGGTAGTACTCGTCGACCACAAAACGGATGTGGTTGCCTAATACGCGCAAGGTATAATACAGTGGCTGTTTCCGTATGGACTTTGGATGCTTCAATTGCATTCGATTTGAGTGGATAAAAGACCCTATCCGCCTATGCTAACTCTACCCCCTCCCCCTCTCTCTCTCTTCTTCAAAGGAACTAACAGTAAAGGCTAGAGGATTATTCCTGAGTATGTCTGCTTTCTGTCTCTTTCAGACATTGCAAGCCATTGCAGATACCGAAAAGGAAATTGAGGATCTAAAGAAGTCAGTGATTGACAAGGAGAATCATCTGAAAACTGCAACCACTCGTCTGAACACGAGGCTGAGACGGCCGGGAATGGAGAACTGCAGGGATCCAGCAATGCTACAGTTAGTTATCTTTGTCAATGCTGTTGGAAGGGGGGCTTAACAAACCGTATGCAGTCAGCTGCAGGGGTGTTTATGGTACGATTTACCCGTAGGCACCTCGTCGTGCAGGCAAGGGGTTAGTGTGGCAGGGAGGAAGACATAGCTCACCCAATGATCAGTTTTAAGTTGCTTTCGATGACCAGTAGGACATGTTTGGAACTGTATCCTGCTCGAATTCCTCGACGTCAGTCGTGCTAACGGAAGATTAAGTGCGCGGATGATAACGCTGAAGTTGAATGGAAAAGTGAACAAGTTTGGTAGGTAGGTTCAGAAGATGCCTTTCAGTTAATTAGCTCACACTCGGATTTTTCCGTAAGGGCTGCAACACGCAGCTTCACCTGGTCCTGGGTCCTGGGTTTCTAAATTTCACACGAAATACTGCATACTGCCAATTTTTGACATCGTGTGCACAACATGATGGCCTTCAGAATTTTAATTCTTTATCCCTGGTAAGTGTTGCCCATCGCTTCCTGTACTCGCTAGTGCTTATTAGGACTGCAGCAACCTTAGAGGTCTATCAGAAACATGGAATTTTACTCACGCATTCTAAAATGAACCGACCGGTGGGGGAAGCAGCTGAAAGAGCCTGCGTAACATGATCCTCAACTTGTTGAGGCTCGCATTATTTATTTCATTCCTTAGGGCTTTGTGACATGCTGGCCTGTGACGTGCCGGTCACTGCTTGCGCGGGAATACCAAATATTGAATGTTTCGCCGGCCATTGATTGGTCTGCACGCGTGAGCAAAGGCGTCTCGCGTGCCCGATGGTGTGGCGCACGCTGATTGGCTATTGCTTTCCCGCGTGCATTTCGCGGCCAATGCGGCCTGCTGTACTGTGCATGACAACTTCTTCCTTTTATTGCAGGCTGCGGTGCCCCTCCCTTTCCATTCGCCCTAACAGTATTAGTAATAGCTTTCATTCTAGGGGCGATTTATGGACGTCATCAAGAAAAATGCCCACAGGGTGGGGCTCAAGCTCGAGCACGTGGAGGGACACCCCATCCGACGTGCCAGTTTGTCATCAGTACCTACTCACTGTCTGCAGTATCTCCAAGAAATGCCTCAGCGTAATCTCAACTTTTTACCTTTCAGTCTCATCTGCGAAGTTCAGCAACTGAAGGACGCCATCCAGACGCTAAAGGATCAGATTCGGCGGGCTGAGGGCATGTTACAGGAGCTGCTGCGACTGCGTACGGAGAAGGAGGGTCAAGTGGCCGTCAAGAACAACAGCCTCTTTATCGATCGCGAAAAGTGTCTGGCCTTGAGGTCGGCCTGGCCCGGTGGTCCCACCGCGGGTGCAGCTAACGCTATCCCCTGTCCCAGCAACACCGTATCTACCGTGCGCGCTTGCAACTGTGCCTAGATCCCCGTAGTGAGAAGCCTCGACTTCCTGCCTCACGTAAATGTTGGTGTATACGATGCAGCTTGGAGACGAAACAATCCTCCCCTACGCGTGCATGTGTGACTTAGGCAAAGAACTAGGAGAACTAAACGAACCCACCTCCCATTCCCAGTGAAGTAAGGGGAGGATGAAACATGCTTACACCCAGAAACTGTGTACTTTTAGGGTTTTTGTGCAGCTGTTGGCTCCACAGTGCCATATTGGCTTCTTAAGCCAACAAATGAAAAATATGAAACGTGTCTCCTTTCCCACTGCTTGCGTCAAAGTGGCTTTAGTGCTAGTTCAAAGCCCTTTGAGGATGCCGATATAGTATAATAAGTTTACTACAGCTTTAATTTTAACTTACTCCGGACGTGGAAGCAGGGGATCGAAAAGTAGAATGCGACACCCCTGGAGGTAAGGACAGAGTGATTTGTACTGGAAGCAAATATGACACAATGATGGACCGGTTCACTCCGCTCCCCCCACAAGTCCCGTTTGTGAAAAGTAAAACCGCACATGCTAATTGGTTATTTCCCTCCATGCCTAAATATGGTCTGGCCATGTCAGACAATGTTTTACAGCGGACACACATGGGATGCGGTGTTACTGCGCATCCGTACTCTTACACTTGGGAGTCCCCGCACTTATCGCCCATGTTAGTTAGATGAATAAAATTATCGTTCCAGTGGCCGCAGCCCCCTCTCAAATGTCTCCTGAAATTCGTCTTTTCGCTTAAATCACTCTGCTCCTCTGAACAGGCAGAGGTCCGTTATGATACTGTTAGGCGTATAGCCCAAGACCTACAACTGATATGAAATTTCAGTGAAGATGCTGGAATAGAAAGTCTTCGAACAAACCGAAGCGTTGCCAGAGCTTGGAAATGCTGTTGTCTTCTGTCACTTCAGAAAAGTAACTGAGTACAAGTTTGTGCAGGTTTATTGCTGGTCAGAAGGTTGCGTGTTCTGATTACGTCGGGTCGACCAACACTCGAGGTTTCGCAAACTAAATGCCAGGGAGGAGGGAGTACGTTAGAGGACGCTTTCTGCGGCAAACAAGTGTAGAAGACTTGCTACTTCTAGTTGTTAATTCCTGTACGTTCTCTGGCTGCAAACAGGATCTTATCCGCTCTGCCTTCCCTGCCTTTTGATTCGGGAATCCTCACGTACGCTTGGGAAAATACAGGAAGTGGCCACTGTAATATCGCAGTCTCCGGCGTCTACGAATATGATTTCTAAACCTGGCTCGGCTTACTTTTATTTGGACAAGGTTAATGAGTATTAACAACTGTATTCTTTCCTCACTGAACATTAACTTGGGAGGGAAACAACGATTGTCCAGTGTTGCTCTAAAAAGGACGCATATGAGGCCAAAACGTCGTCAGTCCTCCACACGCCACGAATACTGTTCGTTCTCCCTGCTAGTGATCGGGTGCTGAAGAACGCCGTCACTTTCTATCTATTAGTATCAGCATATCAGTATCAGTGCATTTCAGGGAAAGTAGGTGTTTACCTTTGAAATCCCTATTGGTTACATGCAGAGGAAGTATATGGAGAAAATGAAAAGGAAGTAACCTGAAAGAAATACAAGGGGAATTACAAAAACTATACAGATGAACACAGAATGTCATGCTTTAACAGCATTTAGAGACATGTGAACTGGGTTTGTTGATTAACTGTAGCAGACAGTTGAAGCGCACCTAAGATACAGGAAAAGAAGTAAAAATTTTTTTCGTCTGCAGTCATCGTAGTTAATGCGAGCAACGGTGTGCGACTTGGTTCAAAATTAATAAATTACATAAACATATGTTACTTGAATGTTGGTAATAGCACCGCCATAACACTAAATTGGCAACGTTGTCTATAAAGGTGGCTGTAGTCCGGCGTTATTGTGGTGCGCGCTCCAATGTTGATTTAGTCTCCGTTTAAAAGTGTCTACTGATCCCGACATAACAATATCCTCCGGCAAAGCATTCCAAGCTGCAACCACTCTGTTAGAGAAGAACTTTCGTGTGTCTAGCCGGGCACCACTCACACGTAGATTGAGTGGATGGCCTCTCAGGTTAGTCGAGGTCGCCAACTCGTAGGAGACTCCAGATGCGAGGCAGCGGCCCTGATTGTGCACGATGCGGGAAGCTTGTATCAAGTGCCCACGTTGTTGTATGCAACTAAAAGGAAAGAGGTCAAAATTAGATAATCGTGTTTTGTAGGGTAGTGACCACTGTCCGGATGCAAGTTTCGTTGCTCGACGTTGAACTTTTTCGAGTATGCCGACGTGTTTAGCGGTCACGGGTCTCCATGTTTGAAAAGTGAACTCCAGATGCGGTCGCAAAGAGCTTGAAAGACCTTGGCGAAGCAGTTTTCATCAGAGGAAGAAAACGCCCTTTTGATGAGGTATAGAGTGGACACAGCCGACTTGTCTACATCAGCAGTAAGCAGAAAAACAAGGTTGTAGAGAAAAATAGCTAGTAAGGTTTCAACCAAGTGTGCAATCTGCGCAGTCGGTCCTCGCAACGGCACGCCTCAATCGGGCTGCGCAGCGGCTGCTAGAGCTCATAAGGGCTGTGACACATGGGGGGGGTATCACTGAATCCCAACCACATGACCAGATGGTTAATTCAATTCAATTCAATTCAATTATTTTATTAAAGACCCGTCGGGGTCCCATCAAAGCAAGTAAAAATAAATTTACATGCAAATTTTAGACGATGTAGGCAAAATCTGCACAATGTGCAATGCATAGTTTTTGAGATTAGAAGTCCGTTAAGCAAAATGAAAATGAAAAAAACGAGGGGTGAAAAAAAAACTCCAAAGCAAATTTTAAAAACGATTGTAGTAATTTAACAGGAGAAAAAAAAACCCCTCGGAAAAATAGCATCAGAAAAAAACAGGGAGGACTGGCCTGCATGTGGTGGTACAAAATGGAATATAGTCCGACATCAACATGGCCGAAATAAATGTCAGCTGTATATGGCATTGTGTAAGGGATTTCATAAAATGGTACGTAGGCGGGTCGGTCAGGACTGGCCTGTATCGCCTTGAATAAGAAAAATAAGTGGCGAAATTGAAAACCAGTCTCAAGCCGATAGGAACCCAGATGCGGTCAGTTTCATTCAACCGAGTCCATCCGAACATGTGGGGAGATGCGACCAGACTACTAGTATATGGCGAATATAGAAGACTTTGTCAAGACCGCCGATGGATCGCATTCAGTAAGGGCACGATGACAACCAGTCTCGAGGCGACAGGAACCCAGATGCGGTCTGTTACATTCATCAGAGTCCATCCGAGGATAGGGCAAAGGAGATGCGACCAGATTACTAGTATATGGCTAATATAGAAGGCTTCGCCAAGAGCATCGATGGAGCGCATTCAGTGAGGGCATCAGGAAGATCAGTCTCGAGGCGATAGGAACCCAGATGCGGTCGATTACATTCATCCGAGTCCAACCGAGGATGGGGGAAGGGAGATGCGACCAAACTACTAGTATATGGCGAATACAGAAGGTTTCGCCAAGAGCGTCGATGGCGCGCATTCTGTGAGGGCACGATGCATGAACTAAAAAATTGGAATAATTAACATTTCTGGTGAGGGATCTTAGGTAGCGAGACTACTCATATAGGAAGGAAACGTGAACAGATACGGAAATTTAATAGCGGCATGCTAAATTCCCGGTGGCCCTTTCTCAGTGTCATAGAAAAAGTTGTCTGGGAAGGATGAGGAAAATAAAAGTTTAATCGAGTCAGTATTCAGATAAAGGCGTAGCCTTCTCTTAAAGGTGTGTAGATTTTCTGAAGATCTTATATTTATTGGTCTAGGCAACTGCTTGGTGCAGGGGAGAGAGAGGGAAAGATGGATTCTGTAGAGTTCACCCCCGTGTCCCCTTGGGCACATTCTCCACTGTAATATGCCTAACGCACTTGAATCCATCATAACGCGCTAAAATGTGTGGTCTGCATGGTTGCCCACTCACTGGTGCTGTCAATTAGGTTGAATCATGACCGATCGGATCGACTGTAATACGCATGTATGGACTGTTTAATTATGCCAACCTTTCCCTGATTCTGTCTTGACGCCGGGCTCAGGTGGGGCAGGAGGAGAGAGTGCGGTCGATGCTGCGCAAGCCTACTATCATTGTAAACTAATTCCCGCGCAAGTAGTTGTGTCTGCTTCACCTTACTGTGGAGCACACAGTGGACATCAACGGTAATGACGGTCAGTGTTTATGGCGCACATCTTCTGCAAAACGACAGCAGTCCTTCGGAAGGTGACATTCATACGAAACTGCGATTAAAACGACAAACCATACTACTCACAGCATAGTTTCTTGGCCAGAATATTTCTGCATATCGAGTTTTTTTACCTATCTCAAGAGTTGAAATAGGTCTGTAGATAGGACTGTGGTGCAGATGTGGCGCATATGCTGTAGATGACATAGTTCATTAGATGCGCAATAATGCAGAACTGCAGGTTTGTAACCAATTTACGGGTAACGTCGTGCCACGCGTGGAGGTAAATGCAGCGCAAGTCTGTCACCAGTATAATCTCAATCATTTTGTCATGACTGTGGTCCAGTCAGCACTGAATTATCGGTCATTTTGACAAAGTCATTCATTGAGTCGCCGAGATTGTCGTTTGTTGCGCTCTTAACGTTGGAGTCTTCAGAACAGTTCGGTGATCGAGGAGACCTTCGAGCTCCAAGCTAGTTAAATGTTTAAGTTTTCTCTAGTATTGAAGGTAGGGCAAACAAATGCAGTCTGCTCTATGGCCTCACAGCAGCGCTCCATACTATTTGTTTACGGATACCTCTGACTGGACGACTGTCGTCTGAAATCTCTGCTTATAAGAAATCCTACAAGCGTGTTAGTACTGGACAAACCCTGGCCCCTAAAGATACCTCCTGAATGTTGGCTGCAATATACGCACTATCCTGTCAGTATGCCGTGTTTACAGGAACTTCTGATAGGTTGTGTTTTTTGAGGA